TGTCCGTCTCCTATCGGCCATGTATCGCGAGTGACAGCAACGGTGAGGCACCGAGGCAAGCCCCTGAAGGCTGAAGGTAATACTAATCATTCATTTTTTTTTCAATTCATTCACATCGAACTATAGCGAGTAGCGGATCAATCTCTAAATTTTGTTCTTTTCATCTAGACTCGCCTAGTGGACTAGTGTTTGAAGATTGAAGCCATATCTTCTGCAAATCGGTCTAAAAATTTTGAATCGAGTTGACAAAAGCATAAGAAAAAACAAAGAATAGAGATTTTTTTCTAGACTAGTAGGCCTCATTTTTGTAGTTTTGTACGAGGCCTCTTATCTCCCCTGGACGGCACTATGTAACATGTACCATGGTGGGTCGTGTGTGCATGACCCTGATGATATATATAAGGGATAATTGTCTGTTGGACATCCAAAAGTGATAGTCCTTTGCTGACGGACACCTACTTTGGAGCATTTTGTCAGAAGACACTCTGGTTCGGTGAAATTAGACCACAAGACACCGCAGACCGGTTGCAGCCGGTTGCGGAGAGAGAACAGCGGTGAAATGACATTCTTGCCCCTACTGCTTTCTTCTTCCTCTCTCCCTTTCTCTTTTTTCTGTTTCCTGTCCCCGCCACCCTCTCCGCCTCGCGCATCAAGCCGTCGCGGGCGGCTGCTCCTCCGACGCCCGCGCCTCCGGTGGCCCGCTTCGGCGCCGCGCCCCAACCTTGCGCCTCCGGTGGGCCACGCCTCCGGCGGCCTGCTCCTTCGCCACGCCCCTGGCGCCCGGGCCTTCGCCTCCGACGTCCTTTTTGCCCCTGGCTCCTTCTTCCTCTCTCCCTTTCTCTTTTTTTCCTCAGCTCACCTGGTTGCGCCGTGGACACTAGGGCCGCCGCGGACTCCAAGAGCAGAGCACAAACGCATAGCCGATGGCCAAATCTGGCCGACGCTGCTGCTGCTACGCGTGCGCCGCTGTAGCCCGCTGCCACACGCTGCCGCTGCCCTGGCTTGGTTGCTCGCGCCACTGCCGCCGCTGCTTGCCTGCTGAGAGCGCTCACCGCTGTAGCTCGCTGTCGTACGCCGTTGCTGCCTGGACCCGGCTGCTCGCGCCGCCACCGCAGCTGCTTGCCTCCTGCGCGCCACCGCTGCAGCTCACTGCCGCGCGCCGTTGCTATCCGGGCCGCCGTCTCCGCTGCCTGCTACGCGCCGCCACTGCTCGGGCCCGGTTGCTCACGCCGCCACCACTGCCCGCGTCTGCTTGCCCGCCCGCTTGTCCTACGCGGCTATGACGCGGCCGAGCACCAGCACGCATGCCCGCACGTGCCCTGCCACAGACCCAGGGCGCCGACGTGATGACCGGGGCGCGGCCATAGGGTCGGCGCGCGCGGGGCGTGGGCACGGACACCGCGGCGCTCCTATCACCGGCAGCAGCAGCGAGGGCGGCTGCTCGCACGTGACGCTCGTGGTCGCGGCAGAGGCTCGCCAGCCCGCCCGCAAGCCCGCATGGCCGCGGCTGCGGCAGCTCGCCAGATCATCCGTGCGCCTGCGTGGCCGGGGTTGGTCGACGGCGGTGGCTGCTGCAGCAGCAATGGAAGAAGAGAAGGGGAGAAAAAGAGGAAGAAGAAGATGGCAGGTGGGACCCGCACATCAGTGAGAGGGAGAGGGGCGGACTCAACTGTGGTTCAGGGGCACCGGTTGTCAAAAACGAAATTTTCTCTCTCCTTAACCGGCTGCAACCGGTCCACGGTGTCCTGTGGCCTAATTTCACCGAACCAGAGTATTTTCTGTCAAATTGCTCAAAACGGAGTGTCCGCCAACAAACGACCATCACTTTGGATATTCGTCAGATAATTTTCCCTATATCTGGAGAACTTACGAATAACAGAACAAACTACTGAATCCACCTCATCTGCTCTTCTTCCCTGTAACTTGCTGTTTTTCTGAACTCCTACCCAGATTCCACCCAATCCTCAGCTCTCTTCGGATAGAAATCTAGGACCATAACAATTTGTTATCCAGAGCCTTCACCATCACCGGATTTTTCTTTTCCATGATTCTGTTTTCGTCCAGGCTAAGGAATGTGAGTAGAAAACGAGTAGGAGCAACATAATAAGTTTACTTTTGGTTTTTGTCAATACGTGGAGCTTCATTAAAAGAGCATATCCAGTGCAGAGAGCTCCCGCTCTGTGCGGGATCTGGGGAAGGGTGTTAGTGGCAAGTCTTACCCTCGCCTGTGCAATGCGAGGAGACCACGACTCGAACCCGGGACTTTCCGATCATAGACGGTAAGACTCTACCGCCTGCACCTGTGGAGCTTCATTGCATAAATAAATATATCAACGTAACCATGGACACATCTGGCAGGTATTAACCAACATGTAAAATAAGTAAACAAAATATAAGTCGTTTGTTCTATATGTGATTAATTTTCTGTTAAGTTGAGAAAAATATACGCCTTTTGTTTTGGGAGTCTGATGATTGAAGGAAGTAGCTGCTCTGCATATCTGAATGTGAGATCACGCTATTTTATTATATGGATGATTGTTAACGCTAGAAGATTACTTAATCTTTTTTTTTGAAATGACCGGTAGGATTCTGTCCGGCATATATTAATAGAGAAGAGATTACTTCATCTATGATTGGTGGAATTAGGAGTTGCACTATATATCAGAATGTGAGATCGTGCTATTCTATAATTTTTTCTATAGCAACGACTCACATGTATATTTAGTTATGGGCCTACAGCCTACTGCCAGGGAGTAGTTACTTCCAGGTGTATATCTCTAGATTTATGGCATATATGGCCTGACTAAGTGTATGTAGATGGAGTATATCATCGTACTAAACCATCTAGGATAATATGTATGTCAAGTATACTGAGTATATGGTCATACTTGTTTTATATACTACTATAATAATATTAAATAATATATTAAAATATATAGGCTCTTGTAAAAAAAATCACACAGTAAAAACCTGGAGTATGTTAATATGAGTATATCAACCTACTCAGACTGATAAATGAGTATGCATACGTACGCAACGTAATTTATTGAAGACGGGAGTAATCACTCCTGGGAGTAGAAAAAATGCACCCTTTATTTAGCAGATCTCAAAGCATATATATTGTAACACCCCAGTTACTCATAATGGATAATTGCTTTATATCTATAGGCAAGAATATAAATTATAAATAAAACTTGAAAGAACCAGACAAACAAATTGAGTACAAGAGTGGGTTCAAGACTATTTATCTTATGAGTGTTTCTTGCACTTCTGTTCCCAAATTGGCACCTGCCCAGCCCACCTAGCAAGGTCCTGTGTAGTCCTTTCTCTTGCGCCTCGACGGTCTTGAGCAGTTGCGCGCATCGTTGAGGAGGATGAAAACGGAACGGAAATATCCCGAACCGAACCGCATCGTTTTTTATATTTAATCCGATCGAATCCGTATTTTCTTGTCCGACTTTACCGTTTTCGCTTTCGCATTTCAGATGTTTCGTATTTCAAATGTAAAAGTAGAAAACGGTTTAGATATTTTTCGACCGTTTTCTACTTTTCTACTTTTAATTTGAAATATTCCGAATTCAAAATTCAGTTTAAACCGAATTTGGCCAACTGCACAGGTCATACAGCCCAATTGCTAGTTGCTACATCTAATTTTAATTTCTATTATCCTGCTAGCTACTAATTGCTTGTTCTAGACTTGTATTTATGTGTCGGTTATTGTGTTAAATACCTAAGACCAAGGATCATACACTTGCTAATTATTATATGCACTTGAACTTGATCATGTATGTACTTAGTCATGCACTTGGTCCTATGGGTTGGTATTTCGTATTGAGTTTTCGTATATCGACCGTGTTCGACATAAATCCGCTCGAATTGGTTCGTTTTCGGAATTCTCGATATTTCGTAAGTTCGCGTTCGTTTTCGTGTCCGGCTTTATCGTTTTCGCTTTCGTTTTCGTATTTCAAATGTAAAAGTAGAAAACAATTTAGGAGTTTTTCGACCGTTTCCGACCGTTTTCATCCTTACTAGTAGGTGCATAGCGCCGAGGCAGGAGTAGCCCTTGGTCCAGCCCTGCTTCAGCATCATGATCGACGCGCTCGATGCCGTGGTCGGTCGGCATAGCACTCGAGCGCATTCGCCGCCGAACCTTTGGAGCAGAGGACTGAGCTAAGGACGTGGCCTGCATACGATGGAGTAGGTTAAAGGCGACGAAACCGGCGCCCGCTGAGTGTGTTCTGAGAAGTCCGGGGAGGAAACTGGAGAAAGAACTTTTTGGAGGGGCGACAGGAAGAGACACCCCGATAGACGAACGGTTTGATTTGACAAAGGATGTGAATCAACGGCTGGGATTTTGCTAGCGACGTGCCCCAATAAAGGCTTGAGAATCCCAGCTGATTGCGTCTTGTAGAGATACCGACCAGAGATGGACAAATGAGGAGGGAAATCGATGGCACGGGGATCTACTCCCTCCGTCCATAAATAGCTTCCTCTCTCCGTCCCTAAATAACTTGTGTGGTACTCTAACAAATAAGCGACAGTTATTTACAGACAGAGGATTTGGTATTTTAAGAACTATTAAAAGTAACTAAAGTTTAGTCACTAAAGTTTAATGACCGGAAACAAACAGGGCAGGGAGTATAAGCACTCGCAATGTGGTATTGTGAGCCGGGGATCAGGGAGTATATGCAGACCTCAAACGGACTTTTTTTTTTTGACAGAGGGAGTAAGGCTTTGTGAAGATATTTCAATGCTATATACGGGATGTTGATTAACTAAAAGAAAAAACTTACTCAAATACCTCTTGCAGGCAAACCCCCAGATCCAACGCGGGCTCTGTGTTGGATGTGGCCCGGCCCATCATAGGAAGGTCTAAGGCACTCTTCCGTCCCCCCTCTTCTAAACCCTACCCTCGCTTCCGGTACTCTCGCCTTGCCTTCTAAAAAACCCTACCAAAGGGCGGCGGCGGCGGTTGTGGAGTCATGACGGCGGTGAGAGCCATGGCGCCGTCGGTGGCAAGGATGAGGGCTGCTGTTGCTGCGGCAGCGGCGGCACGTATGACAGGAAGAGCTTGTGGTCGGGGTCGCTCACTCTCCTCTGCCAGTGCCGGTGACGCTAGCCGTGCGGAGTCCGAGGTCGAGCGTCTGGCGAAAGCAGGCTAGAAGGTGCGATCTTGCGATCTTTTTTCAACTTCCATTTCACCCTCGCACGAGATCTTCTTTGTCTGCGAGATGTGTCTCCTTACTGTCTTCCTGTTGTATTTTGAATCAGGGTGGGGAGTCCGAGTCCGAAGAGGCTAACAATCTGGTGAAGAAGGCAACCGCAGATTCCAAGGTATGCTGCAAAGAGTTTGCTTATAACTTCTCCACCACTAGATTGCCATGACCTTGAAGTTGCACAGCAAAGTGGTTGAAAAATCACAATGTTTGGTCGGTTTTGGCAGTCAATTTGGTCATGTCCCATTAGATTTATCCTTAACACTGAAATGATGCTTTGGTTTGTTTGTCACATGTTTGTATGTGTTTCTAATTAGTCTGCCAGGTATCGTACCTGGACTTTCTGATCATGCCCCTGTATGTCAAAGTTTATTAGTATGCCAGGTATCGTACCTGGACTTTCTGATCATGCCCCTGTGTGTCAAAATTTGTTACTGCAGTATGTTTGTGTATATTTCAACTGTAGTTTCAGTGTCAATGCTTTGGCTCAGTCCTTTTCAGATGTTACATGTTCTCATTAAGCATAGGGGACATGCAGAGGTGCCCTATTAATGTTTGCTTTCATCTTTTATTGCAACTCCAATTTCGTTTGACATATATGTAGTGTCTTGTTAGTTGTTACTTATTGGGTGATTTGTCAGCCTTGTTCTCACTTTCCTGTGAATTACCCTCAGTGACTAATGGTGTTATCAGATTACTAATCAGTAGTTGTGCTGTGGTTTCTGTCATAAACTTTTCTCCCTAGGCAACACACTTCAGATATCCCCCACATATATCCCCTACATACTAATGCAGGAAATTTGGTTTCACTGGTATGAAGAAGGGTTTTGTGAGCATACGTGCTGATGCTGAAGCGCAAGTGAATAACAGCAACCATAGATAAATCTATATGACGTAGAAAAATGAGGACATTATTATGCAACAGGAGCATAGACAGCAGATACTGTGCAGTAGACTAGTAGTGTGTTGCATAATTCCTGTCATCGGCTTATCAGCAAGTGCATGTGTGTTACATAATGTGTGAGCAGATGGCCCTAACCGTGACTGTACGTGTCTTGAATCTTGATTGCAGCAGTCATTTCTTGCTTTTCATGGTGCGATAATTGTACTGCTTGAGGATGCCCCCTTGTACTTCAAATTCAGTTATTGCAGGTTATTTGTGTATTTGAACTGTATAGTGCTTCAGGTTGCCCCATGGTACTTCAAATTTAGTTATTTTAGTTTGCAGGTTAGTTGTGTATTTGATTGAAACTGTATGCTATTGGTTCTGTGTTTGAGGTTGTTGAGGCTTGCGCTCATTCTTTTTCAGATGTTGTTCACCTGTTGTCACTACTCACTAAGCATATGCACTTGGAGTTGAACAGTGATGTTTGCTTGCACCTTATATTATTCCAATTCGTTTGACATGCATATGTAGTTGTCTTAATCTGTGTGGTTCCTTCCTGACCACCATTACTTGTTGGGTAGTTTGTCAACTGTTTTTTCGATTTACATTATGGTATAATGCTGTTCCCATTCATATTCAGTAGTGGTCATGCTGCTGTTGCTGTCGTCGCTTCAGGGAACTGTGTTGATCCCATAATTTCTTCGCATTTTTGTTCATAGTAGTGAGGGGAGGCACGATACGCCACGCCATATTAAGTTATTACCACTTGTTTTGTACTGTTTGACTGAGCAGGAGCTGAAATTGGTGTTGCTTGAGAAGGATTTGGCTGATCTCAAGTCTTCTTTTGAGTACCAATCAAAGGTCAACTGGTGGGCGATGGGATTGGTTGAAACGCTGTTTGCGTCGCTCCCTGTAGCTCTGCAGACGGTAAATAGTGTGGATGAGAAACAGAAAAGGTTGGAGGAGAAGTACAAAGGCTTGAAGTCTCGACTTGTCCGAATGGAGGTAACACATTTTTGTTTGTTTGAGCTTTTGCTGTGTACAGCTTCCTTATGTCATGTTTAAGAATTGCATGGAAAGAAAAAGCTGGAGTATCTGTTCCTTGTTCTTGCACCTCTCATTTTGTTTGATATCATACCATACTTGATATTATTAGTAACTGAAAAATTACTAATAAATGTGCTGAACCTGAGTACTAACATTCATCTGATCTTTTTTATCTGTCCTTAAACTCCTTATTGACCTGCTTATTATATAAAAACTTCTTGAAATAAATCTAGTTAGATAAACATATTAGTGGTCAGGTTTTGGAAGTTTGACCTCTAAGGATTCTAGAAGGTAAATAATGGATGGATATTTGTTCCTTGAGAAATAATATACTGTTACGCTGCAAGCTGACACTGGACTTACTGCTTTTTTACATATATATAATGCATCACATGTGTTACATGTTCATCTACGCATTCTGTAAAATAGCTGATAGTAAGTTCTGATGTCCCCCATATTTCAGCCAACTGCTGAACTGGTATGCATTTAGTGCACGTTGGGCTACTTCCAAATACTTTTAGGCACATCAATACAGGCATGCAGCTGAGACCTCACTAGGAAAAAAATTGGCTCACCCGATCCACATGTTTGCTTGCTTTGCAATCATCAGGCAGCCCGTAGTGACTCACATGAGGTGTTTATATTTCTTGTATGTTGTACAGACGGTGTTTCGTTGTCTACCTGTGTGATGTTTGTTTTGGTTTTTTGTGTCCACTGTCCAGCACATCTTATTTAGTCTCTTAGTGAGTTATAGAATTGCTCTTCCTTTGCTACATATTTTTAGAACATTCTACTCCACTTAATATACTCAGTTGTTCACTACTGCTGAAGACTTGAGTTGTTGGAGCTTGGGGGATGGCGTAGGTTGTAGCTGTGGGAGGTGGTTGGCCAGGGTTTGTAGCCCCAGCGGTGAGGTGGTGCCATGCCGTGCGACGGCACCGAACAGAAGAAGGGATGGTGGTGAGGGTGAGGGGAACGTAGGAGAGCAGGAGAGATTATCTCAATCTCCAGCTTAATTATAAAACAAAAGGTTTAGGCTTTATAGCCTCAATCTCATTGAGCTTCTGCTGTGTACATTTGTTGAGGTGCTGACATCTCTGAAGTGTGTCAGTTAAGAGAATGATTTATTTCCATTACATTTGTTGGGTCTTCTACATGTCAGATTCCACCTTATGTCATGTTTAAGAATTACATGGAAAGAAAAAGCAGGAGTATCTGTTCCTTGTTCTTGCACTTTTCATTTTGTTTGATATCATACCATACTTGATATTATTAGTAACTGAAAAATGTATCTAATGCACAGCACGCCAACAAGACTGACGAGAACGAGAAGAAGACCGAGGAGGCCGAGGAGAAGGAAGAGAAGGAAGATGAGAAGACCGAGAAGGAAGAGAAGAGCTGGGGTAGTTGGATTCTTTCTCCCTCCGTCCAAAGTTTAATTGCACGTTTTCCTAAATTACTCGACCACGTAGGCCTGAACCTGGCAGCGGCGTGCAGCAGTAGCCAGAACCAGCAGAGCACTGCAGCACTGGATTTTTATTATTTTATTTCCTCTTTCACGGAAGAGTCCAACGATGATGGTACTCCTCGATTGCTATCGTCCACTGGTTCATCTCGTCCCCACGGGGCTTGTATCCGGCGGATCCGTGGAGGCAGCAAGATTGGAAGTCCCACGGTGGGAGCCGCTGCCTTGTGAAGTCAAGCTGTGGTAGACGAGTCGCATCCTCCGCCCGTCCATATCTAAACAGGGCTATCGGAATGTTTAGTTGAATTAGGACAAAGTTGGAACAATAACATTTATGAAACATTGGATTGTGCAAAACCAATTGTCGAAACAGAGGGAAGGGAGGGGTGAAGTTTTTTTACATCCTTTAGGCGAGATGTGGCTACTATTTTTTTCCCTTTCGTTGGGGGTATGGATTAGCTAGAAAGATACCTATTAATTCCGCTCAAAATTATGAGTTGTTTTGGTTTTCTTAGACGTATTGCGTTTTTTTTTACGGAGGGAGTAGGATCTATTATGTATCTGCACATATTTGATATATTTATGTGCATAGATAGAAAAAGTAATGCAAAAAAAATCAGAACGACCAGACAAAGTAATATTCAAGTGAAAAGGTCAGAGGATGATGGCATGAGATGTTCATCCCCCAGTTTGGTCATATGCGACACTATTACTGTTTACTTGAGAAAATTTTGATTATATGAACCTGCAATCACGCAACCAATTAGGATGGGAGTAATGGAGGCATGGAGCACGAGTGCTTTGGCCTGTCTGGTCAACTCAAACAAAGTAGTCCCGCAAGTAGTCCCAATTTGGTCAAACAAAGTAGAGCACGAGCACGTCATGCGTGGGTGGGAAGGGACAGGCAGATTTTCTTGGACGGCACGGTACGGTGACGTGGGCCCTCCGTCGTGTACGACTGACATGGGCCGCGTGGGCCCACGAGCTCGAGCTGCCTCAAGGCGCGGCGGTGCCGGTGCGGACCAGCAGAGTGACGAATGGCTGCTGCTCTGCTGGACTCTGGAGCAGGTTCCGGGCACCATCCATCTGGAGCTGCATTATTTTGTGCCCCGTTACATGCAAGTACTTTATCAGTACAACTAGCAAAGCATATCCGTGCGTTGCAACGGATACATAACTAATGCGGTTATAGACATTTTATGACTTAGAGATTTATTTGATAATTTATCTTAGAATGGGACGAGCAAGATACGTGTTTTTCTAACTCTATAATAAGCACATGCTACTCTAAGAACGCAAATGCTTCGTCACGGGCGTCCGCCCCTATCCGGACGACATGCAACTCACTCCGCTGATCACCGTGGTAATCCCACTCCCCCATCCTACCCCGCGTGACTCACTCCTCCAAAAAAATCCTGCTCGTCCCACTCCACTGGCCGCCGCGGCCATCCCCGCACGCGCCTCCATCCTGCGCCCGAGCGCTCACTCCACCATCCCCGGCTCGCGCACCCATCCTGTGCCATGCAACGCTTTATTGTTAAATCATAGACTAATTAGACTTAAAAGATTCGTCTCGCAAAATAATTGTAATTTGTGCAATTAGTTATTTTTTAATCTATATTTAATACTCTATGCATGTATCAAATATTCGATGTGATAGGGTATAAAGTTCTTGAGAGGAACTAAACAAGCCCAATGCTCGGGACAAATGACAAAAATACCCCTACACAAATGGGGTTTGCGGCTCTGCGGTCTGCGCTGTGGTCAGTCCTCAGTGGAGGACACCAAAATAAAAAATAAGAAAACTTCACGAAGTTTCCCGAGCGACGAGCCTGGCCAGACGAGGAGACCCAAAGCCGTCCCTGCCTTCCCCACCGTCGACGGCGCAAGGTGCATGCTCTGAGCCGACGCGCCGAGCCACCATTGGCGCCAGGTGCATGCTCCGAGCCGGCGTGCCGAGCCACCATCTGCGCTAGGTGCATGCTCAGAGCCACCGCGCCGGGCCAACAGCGCTACGCGAGCTTGCTCATCGCGTCGAGCCGTCGCCCACCACTCTGAACTGTCGCCACCGGCGAGTACAGAGATGACAGCTGAAAGGGGAAGTTGAACGGGGAAGAAGACATGAGGGTGGATGTGGCTGGATCTGGGCCGAGATGGGGCTCTTCCGGGGATTCTTCTCTATTGAGGGAAGGAGCTTCGATGTGGAAGGGGAGGATGCGGGAGTCGCCAGCCACGAGAATCACCAATAATCGCACCAAACGTCCTACGGTTTCGATGATTATCGTTCTCATCCAGGGCCTAGCCTCCACAAGTCTGAGACGATAAGTCTGATTTTTGTGTACCGTGGATTCACAACGATTCCGCGAACAGTACTTTTCAGCTTTTTTTACGGCGAAACGAACGAGGCCATATATTTGCCATCCGTGTATGAGGACGTGTCACCGACGAGTGGGGCTCCTTCGATCTCCAGTCCCGCGGATGAAACATGTCAACTCCTCTCCAGCTGCCAACGGTAAAAGCGAGCCAAGGTCGGCGGCCCATGCCTGGGGGCCCACGGCCCGGGCCCACACGTGATGGACGGATGGACTGGAGTGGACCACGGCTGCAGGGCCACATCCAATCCGGCCACGTGGATCGTGCGGCGTTGGCGTCAGAGAGAGAGAGCGCGCCAGATAGTGGGCCTCACCAGAGCGCGCGCGAGCGCCGTAAAAAGGAGACAACGAGCGAGGCTACCGCTCTGCTCCTGCCTGCTATCTGCGGTGCGTAGCCGTTGTGCTAGCGATAGACTAGAGAGCCTCGGATTCCGGGGACAGCACGCAGCGCATGCCGCACCGCCGCAGGACATGTCCCTCGTCTTTTTTCTCTCGGGCAATTTCTTATTTGCCCTAATTTAAAGTTGTTTTTCTTGTTTGATCCTGAAATAAAATTTCTTACCTATTTTGCCTCAGTCGAAATTTCGTTTTTCAATCTGGCCTTACCGTCATCTCCCGCCTCTAACACCGTTAAGTGGCACATGAAATAGCCAAACTGCCCCTGAGACATTATGAGAAACCAAAGGTCACCCAAGCAGTATAACAACATAATTTTGAGCACTTTGAATATAATTTTCATAACATAAAAATTTTTGAGCCAAACTGCCTCTGAGACATTATGAGAAACCAAAGGACCTCCCTCTCCCACTCCCTCCTCCATCTCTCCAGACAGTGGTGGCGGCGATGCCGCCCTCCCCCACCCTCTTCCTCCCCTCTCCCTTAGATCCAGCGAGCAGCCAGCGATGGTGGCACCCTCTTCCTCAGATCCGGCGAGCCAGCGACGGTGGCGCCCTCCCCCACCCTCTCCCTTAGATCCAGCGAGCCCAAGGCGGCCCAAGAGGTGGCATCTGCTGCGGGAACGACGGGGAGCAATGGTCGCGCCCTCCCCCACCCTCTCCCAGATCCAGCCCCCTCCTCCCGGATCCGGTCTTCTCTGCGTGCGGCGGCGGCTTCACGAGTGGCGGCGCGACCCCGAGCGGTGGCGTCTTCGCGTGGATCCGGCGGGGGCCGGAGGGGCCTCTCCGGTGTTGCGCCACGGCCTCACTCCTCGACGATGGATCCGGTCCAGGAGCGCGGCGCGGGGACGGGGCCTCCTCCCCTGGTCAGATCCGGCGACGGCGTGGTACGGGGACGCCGGATCCGCGCGGGGATGCAGCGGCGGCGGTGGAGCCGCATGGAGCAGTCGAGCTCGCCGGTGGGCTTTGGGATTTTTTTTGTTTTTTAATTCATTAAACGTGGGCTGGCACGGCCCGTGATTCTGGTCGTGCTTCGAGGGGTCGGCCCGGCACGGAAATCGGCCCATAGGGCCGTGCCTGGGCCGAATGCCAGGCCCGTGGCCCTGTGAGGTACGACCCGGGAGGCACGGAGTGCCGTGCCGGCCCGTTGGCTATCGGTCCATGCTGGCCCGTTGGGCATCTATATTGTTCGGCTTCTTTTTTCCAGACGAAACAGTGTTTTTGTCTCACAATAATTCAGCCAGAACAATGTTTTCAGCCAGTTTCAGCCAAGTTTCAGCGAGCCGAACGAGACCTTAGTTGGGTTGGGTGGTGAGTGAGGATTTTTATGTAGGTGCCCAACTAACAATTAGTTGATCTATTAGGTAGGTCCATATGGATCCATCACAACTAATTTTTAGCAACTATGCACCCTTCATCCCAAATAAATCAAATTCTAGAGTTGTTCTAAGTCAGACTATTTAAAATTTGACCAAATTTGGATAAAAGAATATCAACACCTCCACACCAAACAATTGTATTATGAAAATGCATTTCATAGTGTATCTAACGATACTACTTTTCATGTCATAAATGTAGGTATTATTTTCTATAAATTTGATCAAATTTATAAAATAAGATGACTTAGGACAACTCTAAAAGTTAATTTAGTTTAGAACGAATTATTAACCCTATTGATCGAATGGGATCTAAAGGTATGTTTGATCCCATCCTCTAAACTTTAGGGCTCTAAAAGCCTTAGAGAAATTTAGCTCACTTTTGAGATCTAAAGCTCTAACGTGAGGTCGGTTAAAGTTTAGAGCTAATTTTAGACCACTTGTTTAGAACTTTAGGTCTAAAGTTTAGAGTTCTAAAGTTTAAAGTTTAGAGGTAGAAATCTAAACAGGGCCAGTACACTGCTAAAAACAACAGTTAGATATTTTCAAACACGGCAGATTGGGGCAACTACATCCAAGGGGAAGACCAAATGTGAACCAGTCACCGGCTAGTCCAACTCTGCCTGCGTGGGCACTCAACGAACAGCAGGGCCGCCCGGCCGGGCGAGACACCAAGCGTGACAAAACCGCAGAATCTTCTGCATGCATCCATATGATCCATCATATCGGTCTCTATATATCATATAGGAGTAGTACGTAATTATATTAACTTGCAACGATGACTTAATCATGGGATGGATGGATCAGTTGGGTGGTTGCCGTTACGTCTGCTGCGTGATATGCTCCCCGAACTGTGGATACACTGATCATGCATAATGACTTTTGTTCGATCATGATCAGATCCCGTACCGTGCAGTCAAAGCAAGCATGTGTCGCAGAGATAGCTAGGCCAATCAATGATAATCCCGTTCCCGCCACGCCTAGCGAATCAGCAGCCTTCGCGCGCTAGCTTATCGGCGGACGGCGGCAAACGGTGGTCGATCGCATGCATCATCATGTAATCCACCGACCCGACCGAGGACCGACTA